TTTTCTTCCAGCATTCATGCCTGGTGTGTTGCTACCTTGATGATGCCTTGTCTCTGGAAAGTCTTTCAGTTTAAATATTTAATTAGAGAATAATGTGAAGGAAAGAGGAAGAGAAAACAGATGGAATACATAGCACAGAAGTAGGGCATGAAATCAAGTGATCTCTTGATGCAAGAGCATGCAAGGATTTGCAGTAGTGTCAGGAATCTCAAAGGAAACTTATCTGCCATTGCGAGATTACAGAAATTTATTTGAGCTTCTCCGATTGATAATTGAGGAGCAGCCACACATGGTAATTAGGTGTCTTAGTTCTGTCAAGTTTACACTGTGGGGACTTCTGCAGAGAGCAAGTGGAAATCCATGCACCTGGTGACTTATGTCTCATGTCGGGTTTCAAAATAGGACTTAATGGGGGCATAGGCCCCACTCTACCCTGTGTGCTAACAAAAGCCAACATGTACCCGGGCTCTAATGCCAAAAGACTATGCAGAGTACCACACACGTTATACATCATTCTACTTAGCCAGATGGACTCTACAAATCTACCCTTCTAAACAAATCCCTGGACTAGTGGCAGTGACTCCTTTCCTTCCCCTGGGTAATGCCATAATTGGAGTGAGAGGTTAGTTAATCAGCTGTTACTATCTCCACCTTGGGGTCTGTCTGTAACACAGGAGAAGGTGGAAACTCATCAGCAAGACTCCCTTGTGTTTTCTCTTTGGTTTTCTCTTTGGGGGACACGTGCAGATTTTTCTCCAACTAAGCCAGACGTCTGTTTTTTGAACAGAATAGCCGGTCGAAAAGAGACCCTGATGGCTCCGGTCAGCACCGCTGACCAATCCATTAAAAGTCCAGTTGGCGCAGGGCTGGCAGGCTCCCTACCTGGCTCCTGGCAGTGGCAACATGTCCCTCAGGTGTAGGTGTGACCAGGGGGGCTCCTTACGCTGCCCCCATCTACAGGCGCCGCCCCCGCAGTTCCCATTGGCCGGCTGGCTGCCCCTATGCCTAGGAGCTGAGGGACATGTCACTGCTTCTGGGGAGCTCCCCCCCCCAAGGTAAGCGCTGCCCAGAGCCCACATCCCAAACCACTGCCCTAGCCCTGAGCCCCCCTCCTGCACCCAAACTCTTTCCTGGAGCCCACACCCCCACCCGCACCCAACCCCCTGCCCCAGCCTGGAGCCCTCTCCTGCACCCTGAACCCCTCATTTATGGCCCCACTCCGGAACCTGCACTCCCAGCCCAGAGCCTGTACCCCCTTCCACACCCCGCCTCACCTTGGAGCTCCCTCCCACACTCTGAACTCCTCGGCTCCAGGCACCAGCGCACCAAGGCAGCTCTTTGAGGCAGGGACTACCTTTGTGTTCTGGGTTTGTACAGCATTTGCACAATGGGGTGCTGGGGAATCTAGGCATTACCACAGTACAAATAATAGCAGGCAGATGGCAGCAAGTTTTTGTTAATTACTGAGTTTAGCTGGATTTGAACCAGTGAACTGGACGGGAAAGATTCTATTGCCTATTCTTGATCCCTGGAGCCAGTTCAAACTCAACTAAATGTTTGTTACAAGCATCTATAACCCAATACACAAGGCCATGAAAGCCTTCCCAATTGCCTTGTAGAAAAGCACTGCCCATTAGTGTGCAGAACGGAGAAGGGAAAACTGCTTCTATTGAGATTGAAAGTTGTGGCTCTTTCTCCCCATAACTTTGCACTGTAATCTAGGGATGTTTTTCAAGCCTCTCCAAGTGTCAGAGTCCCTGGTGCAGTGACTGATGAGACATCTGCTCTATGATGTGCCATAACAAACAATTCATTACTGCAAAATGGACTTACAATCATTAGCCCAGGAGCTCTGAGTTTAATGTTGCATTCTGCAGGCTCACAAATCCTGCTTGGCCCTGGGGATTATACATCACATTTTATATCAATGGTGAAACCTGAACTTAAAAAGACAACGGATATTTAACTTGTTTAGCAATTTAGCTGACATATTTACTCTTCATGAATAAGCCTGTTTAGGAGACAAACACTAAAGCACCCAGGCTCATTATTAGACATTAGTGCACAGAGCTGCATTGCCCCAGGAAATCATTCTCCTCTGCAATGGATCTGCCCTTGTGCTCACATCTGAAATTTGAACATCACCAAGTAGGTGCTGGTGGTTGCTTTCTGCAGGCCTGGAACTGAGAGGGTCCCTCTGGTAGGGCCACTAGTCTTCAGCCTTTATCAGCCTCTGGGGACCCAAGCACCCGACTCAACTTTGTCGATCGCAGTGTTGCGAGGCTCAGCATTGCAATGCTTATGTCCCTTCATGGAACCCACCGTCCATCACTCTCCCACAGAAGCATGCCTAGGGAAGAGGAAACTAAGAACAGGAGAGATTCTTGTTTTCACCTTAGTTTTACTTTTACTGTTTCCTCGCCTTGTATTCTAGAGGAAGTGGAGCAGGCCTACCCTGGTTGCTCTGTGATGCCGAGGCATGAGGGGGAGGGATGTTTTCTGAGGTTCAAGCAAAAGATGGGGATTCTCTACCCTCTTGCCTCTGCTACTTTTTTTTTTTGAGGGGGGGTGCCTGGGGTCAAAGGCTCTTGGTCCACTTACCTGTGTGAGCAACTAGGTGAGAAAAACTCTCTAGGACAGGGGCTTGCAACCTTTTCAGTCTACTGAACCCCTTTCAGGAGTCTGATTTGTCTTGCAAACCCCCAAGTTACCCCTCACTTTCATAGAATCATAGAATATCAGGGTTGGAAGGGACCTCAGGATGTCATCTAGTCCAACCCCCTGCTCAAAGGAGGACTAATCCCCAGACAGATTTTTACCCCAGTTCCCTAAATGGCCCCCTCGAGGATTGAACTCACAACCCTGGGTTTAGCAGGCCACTGCTCAAACCACTGAGCTATCCCTGCCCCCTACTTGCTTATAAAGTCAGACATGAAATACAGATGTGTCCCAGCACACACTCATTTTTACCATATAATTATAAAATAAATCAATTGGAATATAAATATTGTACTTACATGTCAGTGTATAGTATATAAAGCAGTATAAACAAGTCATTGTCTGTATGAAATTTTAGTTTGTACGGACTTTGCTACTGCTTTTTCCGTAGCCTGTTGTAAAACTAGGCAAGTATCTAAAGGAGTTGATGTACCCCCTGGAAGACCGCTGCGCAGACCCAGGAGTACATGTACCCCTAGTTGAGAACCACTGCTCTACACACAGGGTAGGAAGGAGTCACTAATCGGCTGAGCAGGGTTTGCTGCTCTCTCCACTGCTTTGCATCATTCCCCTCAAGGTGATGGTCTGACTGCACTGTTGCCCCTGCTCCTTCCTTTCTCCCTTCTTCCTGAGATGGGCCAGGCTTGGGAAAGACAATGTGAGAAGCAGAAATCCTTGAATCCTCTGAAGCCTGTCACTCAGATGCCCTCCGTGGGCTTCACCCTTGTAAAAACCCAACAACGTTCCTCCCTGCATTATGGTAACATTCCCAGGGAATAATTCAGCATGGCACGTATGTCTCTTGAATTCACAGGGAAGAGCCTCAAAGGGCTAATAAGGAAGATATAAACCATCATATTTCAGGGCAAAAGTGAGAGGGTCAGGAGGAAATTTCCCCTGGGGCCAGGTTATCCCATAACTATAGGGATTCTAACACTTTCCTCTGAAGCAGGTGCTACTGGATAGTGTCACAGAGAGAGTATCTCTCTGTGTTACTTCTGTGTCCCCCATTACTGTAGTTTCTGAGCCCCTCACAGTCTGGAAGGGAAGGACTATTATTCACACATTCCGAGGGGTCACTGAGGCACAGAAAGACCAAGTGACTTGTCCAAGGTCACACAGGAGTCTGAAGCAGACCCAGCAACTGAACTCTGGTCTGCTAATGCCCAGACTGGCGGCCTCACCGCTACCAGACTAGGTGGGCCCTGCTCTGGCAATGTGCCTAAGGAAACGTCCCCAGTGATATGGGGGTGAGACCACTATCCCCAAAGAGACAGAGCTTCTGCTGTGGGAGTTTTGCCCTGGCCCGAAACCTTGAGCTGAAGGAGCCATTGCTGCTTTCCCTGCCCTCCCTTCCCCACAGCTGGTTCTGAGGAGCCTCCTTTGTCCTGAGCAGCCCACGGCCATGGGGACTATCAGAGAAACAGAACTGACGGCTGCTGGGCTCTGCCTGAATTCACTATTCACACCCGCTCAGCCTCGTCTGCTGCACTTACCCGCTTGGCGTCTTCAAATGGCGGGAGCTCAGAGGGCTGCCTGTGGGAGAGGATTTCGCAGTGCCGCCGGATGCCAGCTCCCTCCTTGAACAGAGCCTGCAGCCTGTGGGTGGGGCGGGAGCACGAGGGTAAGAACCTGCTCTGGGGCTGTGGAGAGAACGGCGGGAAAACGCCTCAGAATCCGAGAGCGCCTCGAAGGTTCCGAGGGAGCAGGCTGAGGTGAGTGAGGAGACGGAGAAACCGGAGCCCCGGAGACCAGCCCTCAGAGCAGGAAACTGCCCCACGCCCCACTGGCAGGGAGATGGTCAGATTCAGCAATGCTCACGGAGGTGGCAACAGCAGACTGGCCACTCTGCCTGGTCTCTTGCTCCTGAGCAGAGAGCGAACAGGAATGAAGTAAAGCTGGAGCTGCTCTCGCCTGTGCTCCCAAGGCAGGGCTGGCCTTTGGCCTTTGATGAACAACTGCAGTTTCCTAGCTCTGTGTTCTGTAGGTGGCTCCTTTCACCTTCCTGTTCGGCTCATCCCCCGGGCAGGGTGTGAGGGGCCAATGACACACAATGGCAATCACTCACACCCACCTGCTGTCTCCCTGTCCCTGTGCCACGTGTTGCTTCCATTCACGTTAATGGAATCTCTCATCCCCTTTGTTGATTAGCTAGTCACTGCCTCTCCTACTGCAAGAATCAGTATGTAGGGCACGTGCTCACAGCCTCCCCTTGTCCTTATTTTGAGAATCACATGTGCAGAAACAGACACATGTGAGACTGAGCCACTGTACACAAGTATTATGTACCAGGAAAAAAAGTAGGAGTGATCTGGCTCCAGGACATGCCCACACACACACGTAATCTCGCTCAGGAAATCAGTCCATTACGGTTGAGAACTGTAAAACTCTGAGGTGCAGAAGCATCTTTGGGCTGCATTAGCTATATAGAGCTTTATCACCAAGGCCTGTGGGTGTATATCTGCACACTTTAAACAACAAAACAAATCACACTGCTTACAAAAGGCAGCTGTAGCCATTCAGCCACTCAGATCTTAACCCCCACCCACCTCTCAGTCTCCTGAAAATGTTTTGGGTCTTGGTGGGGCTGTGTTATTCTCGAAAAGTCCACAATAGAGCTGGTTGGGAAATGTCTCCCCCCTCCCCAAAGAACTATTACAGCAAAAACAAAAATGGTTTTGTTTTTGTCTAAAATTTTCTCTGACTTTTTTGGGATCAAAAAACTAAAAACTGACTCTTTCCCCCAGTTTCTGGCTGAAATGTTTCAGTTTTGGTCACTGAAAATGGAAGACTATTCGGGTTTTATTTTTTTGGAACAAACCTGAACGACGTAGCTTTTCTGTGAAAATTTCTGTTTTGTCAAAGAAAACAATTTTCCATTTGAAAAAGCAAAACATGTTGATGGAAATTTTTCAACCAGCTCTACTCATGAAACCTTTTGCCAATGAACAAGGATCACTGAGAAGAGCTGATTTTTGAGGTGGTTTGTGTTAATTAGAAGGAAATTGCTTTTTTCCCCCAGGGTACCACCTAAGAAGGCTGGTGTTTGCAAAACTACAGCAGAATTTCAAAGTGGCAGGTGGCTGTATTTACTGATCACATGTCTTGTTTTATAAATAAGGTTGTAACAGGTTGCAGACTCACCACCACTGGCGCCTCCTGCTGGTTGCTCTGGGAATTAGCTCCGTTCTAGCCATGGAGTGCCCTCTGCAGGTGGTGTCCTGCCCATTGCCGGCTCTGCTGTGCTGTCTGGGACCTGCATTGCTCCTTGGCTTGTGGCGTCCTCTTCTGGACACAGCCCCACAGTTCTCTACCCTCCCGGGGGTATCCACAGTTCTCGGTCTGCACCTGCCCTCGTGGCCAATTGCAGCCCCAAAATCTAGGCCCTTGCCTTAGGGGCAAGCCACAGTCTGTATCAGGCCACATTCCTCCACAGCCAGGTGCAGTGTAAGGGGGTGGGGAAGGGGAACCCAGGCCTGCCCACTACTCTGGTCCCAGCCCAGGGACCCTCTGGTGGCAGCCATGTTCTCCTTCTGTACTGCTCATGCTCCCTGGGCCACTTCCCTTTGGCCCTTGCACCTTCTCGGCCCTTTCTTTCAGGGGCCTCAGCTGGCAGCTTTATGAGGCTGGAGCTTTCCCTCCGCTCCCCTGAGCCTGCCCAGCACTGACCTAGCCTAGGTGCTCTGTCTACAGGGAGCCAGTCCTTCTCCTTTGCTTGTCAGGAAGAGACTACTGTCTCTTCCGCTTTGCAGCCTTTATATAGGGCCCAGCGTGGCCCTGATTGGCTGCCTTTCTGCCATTCTCTGATTGGCCAGGTTCTGCACAGCCGCTCCAAGGGCTGCAATTAACCCTTTGCCAGCCAGTGATGGGCAGCTGCCCCATCACAGAGGCCCTACTTGAATTGCGGGATGATTGTCAAAAAATTGCGCCTGATTTGCAGAAAATTGTGGAAAAGTAATAATGTACCTTATTATTTGAGGTAATAAAGTTGATTATTACTTTTCCACGATTTTCCCTCTGTCAACTGCCCAGGGCTGAGAGTGGGGGTCCGGGGCTCCCACTGTCAAAATTGTGGTGGAAGCCTAATATTGTGGAATCCATAATTTCCACAATTTAAGTAGGGTCTTATTTATAAATTAATTGTTGGTTTCCATGGCTGCGACCAGTATCCTGGCTAGACATGCAGGCAAGTAGCCTGACATTCTGCTTTTAGCCTTATCAGAATTAGATGAGTTCTGTTTAGACCTGGTGGAAAATGGTTTTCTCATCCCCTGAAAATTTTCAAGATTTTGAAAAAATTTTCCTCTCTCAAAGTGGGATGAAAAAAATCAAAAAGTTTTGCAAACCAAAAATCGGGAAAAAAATCAGTTTAGCCCAATCAAAATGTTTTGTTTGGATAATTTCAAAATGTTTTGTTTTGATTTTGACCTTTTTTGATCTTGACAATTTTTTACCATAATGAGTTTAAATTTGAGAATGAAAAGTCGTGTGGAATCCAAAAAATGGAATTTTTCATTCTGAAAATGTTCAAATAAAATGTTTTGACAACTTCAGAACTTTTCCCCCCCCCCGAGTCTAGAAATTTGTCGATGGGGACCCTTTCCTATGAAATGTTTCCGTTTTGAGGAATCTTTATTTTCCAACGACTACGTGTTTTGTTGAAAAATTCACAACCAGCTCTAGTTCTGTTCCCCAGAAGTCACTATTGCTGGCACCTGCCACCCGTTCCCTGGGGTAACATGCAAAACGTCCCACTTAGACCCTTAATTGCAACCTATATAATGCCTGGATCTCATGCTGGGCCACTGCTCATGGTTGAGCTTCACTTTACATGAGCAAAACTGCCACTATCCACATTAACAGGCAGCTCAGTGCTACAGAGCAGCTGTTTCTTATGGTCTCCTGCTTGGTGCATGCACACCCTGCTCTGAGTCAGTTGAAAAGCATCCGTTTGCTTGTGTTACTAGAATGGCTCTGCTTGGAGGCAGCGGCATGATATTTTCTGAACCCAAGCGCAGCGGAATGGTCTAATATAATCACAGTCTTTGTGCGTTACTCAAGATCTGAACTAATCTGTGTCATCCTGAGATATAGTCACTCTTGAGCTTTCGAGGCGGTGATTTAATGTTAAGATGGGAACTGGAGGCACTAAACAACAGGCTGTAACTCGGTGTTAATACGGCACATTTCTTGCAAGTATAGAAAATTACAGTTAAACTCCCCAAGTTAGGCAAAATAAATATATTCCCAAGAGATTTAGCTCCAAACTGTGTAATGGAGGGTTGTTCCATGCCATCTCTTAACATAGAATTAGCATGATCATAGTCTAGGGTTTCCCCTCTGCGAGATATCAAACTGATGTTCCCCAAAGCCACATTGATGGACCTCCAGATAACGAGCAAGAGGGTAATTAACCATTGGAACAATGTATCAAGATTAGTGGTGCATTCTCCATCACTGGCAATTTTAAAATCAGGTTTGGATGTCCCTTCTGACCTTAGATGAGACATTGCAATACTGCAGTGAAGCAACAGTGCCAGAGAAGTTCTAAGCTTTTGCATTGAATCGTAGGCTATGCTGTTAGGGAAGGAGGCTGGTTATCTGGTTAGGGAATTCAGCAGATCAATGGTCAGTTTCCCTGCCACAAACTTACTGTGTAACCATGGGCGAGTCACTTAACCCCTCTGTGCCTTAGTTTCTCCATCTATAAAATGATGATTTGATTTCCCTACATTACAGAACGTGGGGATGTTCTGATGTTAAATTCATAAATGTTGGTGAGTGGCTCCATGATGGGGGCTGTATAAATAGACGGGCTCTGTTTTAGGCACTCTGACTGCCATTGAAAGTCAAAGATCTGGACACTTCAGAAGTGAAATATGTACTTACAATTACTCTGTAGCTTCACTAGTGGGAAGGTCTGTACATATTCTGGAGAAAACTTCTCTGAATACCCTAGTCTCTGAGGCAAAAGATCTTGCTGTTGAATTCATTAAAGTTTTAATATATAGCGCCAGTCACTGTTAATAAGAATGTCAAGTACAAGGCATTAACTTGGCATTAAACTAGTTACAGTGTGAATTAGCGATTCCACAGGAATGTTGGTAAATGTTTGACATTAATCGTTGTGCGTATTTGCAATGATTCATGCCGCAAGTCCTTTGCTTGTTGCAGCAAAGTGTGGGGCGCTTCCAGGACTCTGGAGCCCAGGCCGGTCCTCAGCATGGGAGAAACTCCAGCTGAAGTGAAAGGAAGTGCTGCTCTGAGATGGGAGAATCATGTCCCTGAGACACAGTGTGTTTATTCAGCTGTCGCACAGCAGCATGGGGCTAGCAAGGAAGAATGATCTTGTGGTTGGTTATGAGAGTGGATGGAACTTGGTGCATGTGGGTTTAATTCCCAGCTTGCAATGTATATGTTCTGAATAACCCTAGGCACGGTAGGCTCACATTTTCCAAAGTGCACAGTTCGCATTTAGGCACCAAAATGCATGGGTAGCTTTTCAAAAAGGCTTGTCCTAGTGGATGCCAAGAACTTTTGGAAAATCTGGCCAGAAGTGTCACGATGGGAGCCAAGCTCTTCTGAAAACCTGACCTCAAGTATGGGTGAAAATTAGTATATGACAATCCATCCCTTAATGTCTCTGTCTCAGTACCTTCTCTGGTAAAGCAATGAGAATACTTCCCTTCTCCCACCCATGTCTATTTAGATTGTAAGCCCTACAGGGTAGGGACCACCTCTTACTACATATATGTACAGCGCCTAGCACTGTGGGTCTCCAATGTTCTTTGGGCCACTAGATGCTACTGCAGTAAAAACAAATAGAATCTGCTGATTTACGTTCTTTATCTGGTCATCACTATAGTGTCCAAGTCTCTCACCATCCTTTGGTGCATTTATCCTAATAACGCTGTTGGGAGGTAGGGACATGCTATTTTTCCTGTTATACAGATGGGGGACTGAGGCACAGACAGACTTGCTAAAGGTCATACAGGGAATCTATAGTGTAGCATGGACCAGAATGCAGGCCTTCTAAATCTAGATTAGAACCCTAACCACTGGACCTTCCCTCGTGCCCAACACAATGGTGTTTGGAGCGTAATGTGTTTGGTGCTGTGGAGCACATTAGCACTGGGCCCTGGGTTTGGTAAATTCTCTTGCTAAAAGAGGAAATAAGGAATTAAAGCTTGCCTTCCAGCAGGAGGTCTAGCTCTGCCTATCTTTTTCTTGTTGTTTAAACAATGTCAGAATTGTTAACACTGGAAACTCCTTGCTATTGTTTAAATGAACCTGGCCAATGCCACTGGGAATTGAAAAGCAGCGGTATTGCTTCCAGCGCTGTGTATTTCCGTCTGTAATCAGAGTCCCTGGCATTCTATCACTGCCCAAACCCACAGCCCGTTGCTCAGGACTCTGATAAACTTTAATACCACAGAGGAGGCAATAGCACTGCAGATGGCTTGTCTGCAGATCAAGATTTTGTTTATGAACGTCGTCCAGCACCTCAGCTTGTGTTGATTAGTTTGGATTGTCCTTGCAATTTATCAGGAGTGTGCAGGTAGAGAGGAGATTATACAAATGAGTCTGTTACTTGCAGATATGCATCCCAGTCATCCGCCAAGATTTCTGATCCAGCCTACTCCAGGCAAGTGTGGGCCACGCTGATGTATTTCATCAGTAGCGGAAGGGAGCTGTGTTTTGAGCACCCAGGCTTGTGATGCTGGGATCGGAGTGGGTTTCCTTATCAGACCCAGGAACCCTATCCTGACTTGGATCTCTTGTTGGGTAAGTCTGTTACAGTAATTACTAAGGAGAACAAAGGGGCTGGGGCAAACCCATCCTGTGATCTCCCTCTAGTGCACTGTCTTTTCCCAGCCTCTTTCATCTGAAGCGCAAGGTTGGTTGGGCTCCCTCTCTCGAAAGGAGATTGCTACACATTTCCAGTTCTCTCTCATCACCACACAGCATGGGCAGGGTGTGAAATCTGCTCTGAAGGGGCTGAACTAGGAGGCTGAGATAATTAAAGGCTAGAGGGTTCCTGCCTCTTGGATGTTACATTGCTGGCAAAAGACAGGGTCATTACAGGCACCAGTGTCAGTGCCACAGGCAACAGGCACTTGCCAGGAGAGGCTATTAGGATGGATCCTCAGCTGGCAGGAATAGGCAGAGCTGTATTGACTTTGGGGGAGCGTTGCTGATTTACAGCAGGTGAGGGTCTGGCCCACTGTTCTGCGCGATGGGGAAGCCTGGTGGAGCAGGGAAGAGTGGAGCAGGTCTCAACCTTTTCAGGCACCTAGACCCGTTAGGAGGGCATTGGCTGTGCCATCCAGCGGGCACTGCCTTCCATGCAGTGATGTGCTGAGTCGGCGCCCACCATCCCCCTTCCAGGCTCTGGAATGGGCTAGACCAGGCACAAGTGAATGGCAGGTGGGCGGCTGAGCGGCACACTGCAGCCCCCGAGCCAGTCCCACCCCCCGCTGTGAGGTTCCATTGCACAGGGATGACGGCTGTGCGGGGTGTGTGGGCCTCAGGCGTGGGGCGGAGCTCAGCTCTGGGGCAGGTGGCTGGGAGAGGCGCATGGCTGATGGGGACGTGAGGGTGGAGGTGGCAGAGCATCTGATGCTGTTCTAATCAGGCCTCCTGCCCTGAGGCTGCTGCTTTGGAATAGCGTGCACAGGGGGATTCTGCAGCCTCTCTGAGGACTCCTCCGCC